CACGCGCGCGCGCACACGCACGCACACACACACACACACACACACACACACACACACGCCCTACTCATTTCCTTTCCCTTCCAACCCAGCCCCACCTGCTTATTAGACTTGGACCTTGTGTCACCGGGATGATTCTCACTCTGCACTGACACCTCAGCTTTTCATACCTGGTGCCTGGAATACGCCCTGACCCCCCAGCGTGACCCTTCCCCATCCGGGAGCCCCCACCCCATACACACATTTGTGCTCCGGGGGCGGCTTCTGGAGATGGGAGCCCTAGGCAAAGGTCGCAGTAGGCGGCACTTAAGGGGAAGTTTTGCATTTCTCTTTATGGCTGTTTCTAGTACTTTCTTTAATTCTTCCTTTCTCCTGGCTGTTTTGCTTTTCAACATCGGAGATTAAGCCCCAACGCATTCTCACGCGCGGAAACCCCTAGTACTGCAGGTGGTCACTTCAGCATTTCTAAACCTCTAAGAGCAGATGATCAGCCTGCTAGGTTTCCTAGATTTTCCCCTTTCTTTGTGGAAGATGGAGCTCCGGGGCTTTCAGCGAGTCCCAGGGCGTGGTGGAAGAGGAAGAGGAGGGGAGGGAATGAGTTTGGCACCGGGCTGCAGCGGGGGCCTTCGGCTGCCTTGTCTTCCGAAGCTAAATCCTGCTGGACACCACCACCTCCACCACATTGAAAGCCTCTACCTCTCTTTTCGCCGGTATTTCACACCCAACCCGATGATTTCGACAAGCTGTGCAGGTGGCTGCTTTGCGGAGAGAATTCGCTGCTGCCGCCGCGGTCACCGGGTGTGGCCTCCTCGCAGGAGAACTCTGCACCGAGCTCCCCGCTGGGGCTGACAGAGAATAGCCGCGTGATTCCGCCCCGGTTCACCAGTGTAAGTAGGTAACGCGCGCAGTCAGGGTCCGTGGGTCCCTTAGGACGCGCCCCGAGTGGGCCCTAAGGCGCCGGTGTGCAGCCCCTGTGCACTGGGCGCTTGCTCTCGCGTTGTCAGCAGTGCCTCGGGTTTAAGGAGGGGTTGCGCAGGTTTAGAGAAGACACCAGGACTTTTCTAAGCCTGTATTTAGCTTTTATTTGTGCAACACAGAGTTTAACATGAACTTTTTTTTTTTAAGGCGCCCTAAGAGGAAACACACATTTCAGCAGACAGGTCGGAGTGGCTTTGCCGGTGACCCGCAGAGGACGAAGCACAGGAGCCCGGGTGAAGAGGGCGGGGTGAGGTTTATGCTCCATTCTGATACCTCAACCTTCTCGAGGCAGAGGGATGGACTGCCCGGAGAACTTCCCGGGGATTTCTAAACAGTCACTCTAGGACTTGCAGTAATGCGCATTCCGAAACATCCGTGTGGGCTGTGCCTTCTCCGAGCTCCGTCCATGCTCTCGCACACTCAAGGATGTCAAGCCTGCGGTCCTGGGCTGCCCACAACCTTGGCCCAGGCAGACCTGGCAGGGCGCTTACTACGATGACTTTGTAGCCTGCAACCCTTGTCATTCACCAGCGACTCAGCAGTAGCAGATGCTTTGGTGCCAGAGATGAGGGGCAGAAGGAGACCCGGGGAAATCATATGTTTTTCTGCCCGCGGTTACCCATAGGTAGGTGACAAGTTAGGAATGGATTTATCCTGAGCCTGTGCCAATAAACCATACCCTTTCACACTCAGTGTGTGTGGGCCTGCACACGCCACACCCTGGGGGACTCGTGAGTCCCTTTCCTTTGTACCGGTCCCTTCCCCAGGAGTTTCAGGTTATCTCATCCTACGCACAGATAGGTTAGGTTTATCGGCGTTTTTAGGTTTATTTAAATATTTTTGCCGGCTCCTCGCTGACGGCTTTGACTGCAGAGAAGGCTGCCTGGGGGGAGTGGTGCGGCTGCAGGTCGTAAGATGCTCTAGAGCAGAAACACCTGGGGGCCCCTGCATTGCAGGAGGCTCGCGCAGGTGGTGAAGGTGAGAGTGGGGAGCACGGGGCTCCTTTACTGCCCCTGGCCCAGCGTGTGGGGCAGAACCAACCCAGTGAGATTCAGGAAGTAGATGTCTACATGCTGGCCACCTGGTTCTGCAGTGCGGCCTCGCTCTGGGGCTGAGGGGCTGGGTTTCGGTTGCCCCACCCTGGGCCTTGCTCTGCTGGGTGCCTGCCTCCTTTGCAAGGCCCTCTCCAGCCATCTTCCTTTTTAAAGCCCCTTCCCAGAATTCTGCTCTGAAAGCCGCATACCATTTGCTCCTTGTGCCAAAGCAATGGTAAAGTGAGCAACTTTAGGAAATCCGGTTAGCAAGAAGAACCTGACTTTTCCTCACCCTCACCAGCAACGTTTCTATATCAGAGTCATGTGTAGCATTGTCACTGCCCTAGGCGGAGGCCTTTGCGTCCCGTCATGAACTTGTGCATTTATTCCCCTTTAAGCATATTCTCCATGGACATGAAAGTGATTGAGGGCTACCAGCAAAACACACTCTCGGGATAAAAACTATTCAAAAAACAAATACAGAAATCTATTGATGACACTCATTAATAGTATTCCTACCATCCTGGTTATTTCTTACTACTTCTGTGATCGTCTAATAGATCGGTTCGGGTCATTTGTTGAAAAGAAAAATAGATACGCATTACCATAAAGTTCACAACTTTTAACTCTTTTAGAACCACTTTTACTTCCACTCCACTGTCAGTACAGCTTGAGAGCTTCAGGTGGCTCAGACTCGGTGACTGGTGTCTTTTCCACTCATCCTTCTGAAACCCACTGGCACAGGCCTTCTGTATTGGCATTTGCTTTAAAAGGTGTGGCTTTAGGCTGAAGTTCTGACAGGCCAGAGCCCATGAGAAGCTTCAGTCTGGGTGTGGGAGAGCCGAGTTCTGTCCCCCAACAGTGGCGTGTGGGGATAGAACTGGGTCAGAACAGCAGAGGGGTCTCCATGCACCTAACCGTCGGGGAGGTTAGTTGGTGTTGTGGAAGCTGGCTTCAGCATGCTCAGGAAAGGGGAAATGAAGCCAACACTTTCAGGCGCTTGCTGTCTATTGTTTAGTAACAAAATCCCTGTGAGATGGGCATTCAGAGCCAACAGTGGAGGCCAACTGGTTAAATAATTTGCCAAATCACTCAGCTACCTCAAGCCTGAGCTCTCCTTGCTTCCAGATAGAGCGGTGCTCTGCTCATGCATTTTCTGTCTCCATGGAAATTGAAAACTTCATGCCGCAGTCTGCAGACTCTAGCTTGCATATACTGTAATAAACCTCTCCTGTATGGAAGACACCAATAGGAACTGGTCTATATCATGAGGAAACTGGTAGTGGATGTTCCATTGGGAGAGCAAATGGCAGCGACAGCTGTATGATTGATACAACTATATCAGTGTAGAATAAATTACTGCCACCAGTACTCTAGGACATTCACTGGTGGTATAACATTTACATGGGCAGTGTGACTTTTTAGACACAGCTCTCAACGTCACTTTACAAAGCACCTCTTCAGGAATTAATAAACTAAAATGCAACTTAGGTGATGTAAACTCTAAAATAATGACCCTGCAATTTCTGCTATTTTCTAATTAAGCTATTTTCATTTTGCACATGTATAAATGGGTCTACTTTGAAAAAGGAGCGACCCTAAAAATTGCTATAATGAACAAAAGAAGAAATGCTGGCCCTCAGCATCTCATTATTGAGTTTGCCGTGCTCCCTACAAATTTTTAATTTTTTCAAATATGAATGAAATCTACAGCAATGTATGAAAGTCTTTCCTCTTTTTTCCTTGAAATGGGTATATATATTATGCTGACCACAGGACTCACACATGAATCTTCCATGTCTTAGGAAATATATTTGAAAGAAAATTTTCTCCATTTTAGTATAAAATATGCCTATGTTTACAACCCCCCACTTTGAAGATGATGCAGAATAAAGTGTGTTCTGCAGCCGTATAAAATTTAGAGTGCAGCAGAAGTGAGAATGTCTCTTGAATGGGCTAAAGAAGAAAAAGGCACGTTTACATTCAGAACACACATGCTATTAGAAAGGATAGGAACTTACTGCTGTCCATGCAGAAATGATGGTGGTGAGTCCAGGTCCCTCAATGCTTGCCCCACAGAAGGAGCCAAGGGAACGTATTTTTCCCCTAGGGCCCTGCCCCACCAAGCCCTGCCCTCAATCACAGTCACCGTGAGAGGTAAGAAGGTCCCTCGGCACAGCCGTTGAAGGCAGGTCACGGCCATATCAGGCCGAGCCAGCAGTACCAACCCTGGCCACTGTTCTCTCCTGACTGCCAGGAAACACATCTGCTCCTGCAGTTTGGGAACAAAGCAGCCACATGGCGTTGCATGCAGCACCTGGATTTCTTTGCTGACCTTTACCGTGGCTGAACAAATCAACGGGAGGAATGTGAGCTTTCATGTTTGCAAAGAAAGAGGATAAGCACTTCCGCGTGCAGGAGACAAAGGCCGATGTTGTCTGTGTCACAGTCTCCCTGGAGCCCATCCAGGACAGCAGTCACTTCCCTGCCAGCCCTTCACTGCTGCAGGAATGCAGCAAATGCTGTAGAATTGTGAAGGGGTGGATTCCTGGATCCTACAGCACAGCCGGCAGGCTGCAGGAGCCAGGATAGGTACCGGTGGTTGGTAAGGTGAACATTAAGAGACTGGATCAGAAAAGCAAAACTTGCCTGTGTCTAACTAGCTCATTGATTGATTAAATAACATATGTTCCGTCACCCACTGAGCCACCAATGTTGGTGGAACCCTTACAGTGTGCAGTATTCTATATAAGTGCCCCAGGGAGCACAGTCACAGCACATTTCCCAGTCTTTGCAGGGCTAGCAAAATATCTGGACACAGCAAAGCAAAACCGGATACTGCTGCATATGACGTGAGTGAATCTCAAAAATGATATGCTTGGGCCGGGGATTTGGCTCAGTGGTTCCGCCGCCTGCCTCGCAAGCACAAGGGTCCAAGTTTGATCCCCGGTACAAAAAATACAACTAAAAAAGATGCTTGTGCTGAGTGAAAGAAATCTTAGGGAAAGGATGCATGCTGTATACTTCCATTTATGTGAAATTCTGGAACAAGGAAATTATGATGGAAAATAAAAGCAGAGGGGTGATTACTTCAGGGAGCTGGGATGGGATATAGCAAGGGAACTTTCTAGGATGATGGCATTGTTCAGTGCCTTGAGAAGTTTAGATTGCATGGGCTGTGTGCGCATACCAAGATGCAGGCAGTGTACTAGGATCCATGCATTACACTGCATCTAAATTTTACGTCAAAAGAAAAAAAAAACATGAACCAAAGATACATTTATATGGCCTAGTTACAAAAACAAGTATTATACAATTTAAATATATAATAAATCATTTTAAAAGCTCAGCAGATAAAACCCATGCACAAAATTCTGAAGAACCATTCAAAAGTTAAATCATGAAAGGCAAAATCCTAGGAGGTATCACGAAGAAGAGAAGAATTTGCTATGGTTTTGGAAAACAAGTGACTGAGGACTTACATTGCCATTTCTGTGGCTGACTACTGTGCTAGGTGCTTTGTGGCTGGCACTTAATCCTCTTGGCTCTCAGTTGCTCTGTGAGGTAGATATTCTTATTCTAAAGATGAGTAGGTACTGTATTTCTATTAATCCATACTACTACATAATTAAGATATTTTAGCAATTTTACATTCCTGCCTTATATTAAATGTGTATCAACTTTTAAAAAATAGTTTGAAAGGCACTTATACTCAGAATATTTTTTAAAACCTAAGCTATTACTTATTTTTTTAAATAGAATCTTTAATATAAATACTTCTGATCCATTGTCCAATCCTTCAGAAATAGTCTTAAAACCCTGAAGAAATAGTTTTAAAAGCTTTCAACTTTAGGTAAAATGAATGAATGTGCCAATTTTTTCATGCGATGTCTTATAAACTATTGTGATCAGTGATCAGAAAGTAATTTTCTTCTAACAGTTCTATAGGCAGGTTTTCTCCCTGCATTTTCATCTTCAGCTTGGTTACGCCTTCCCTACAGAGGGCCACCCCTTTGTCCTACTACACTAACTGTAGCCGTCACACACTACTTCCAAAGGAGAAGCAATCGGCAGAGACAGAGGAGCTGGTGCTCAAAAATAAGCTTTAACTTTTCACTTTGTTTCTTATTCAATTTCTTCTCCATGGGATTACAACAGCACCCTCATCTCACAGAGATGATAGAGCTGTATTTCAGTGGGAAGTTGAAGTTTTCTGAGCATCCCTGAGTGGGAGCACAGGCCTCCTCCAGCAGTCCTGTGAGGCAGAAGCAGATCCTGCGGGTGTTACAGTCCTCATTATAATACAAAATAAAACAAAAAAGAGCAAGAAGGCTGGAGAGATAAAGGGATGCACCCCAAACCCTGTCTCCTATAAGCAATGGGACCAGGGACATGACCTAGGTTTCCTGTCATCAGAATCACTGGAGAAGACTGGGGATTTAGCTCTGTGGTTCCATTGCCTGCCTCGAAAGCACAAGGACCCAAGTTTGATCCCTGGTTTAAAAAAAAAAAACCTCACTGGAGATTTTTCCTTCTAAATCTTATGGTTCCAAGATTTCCCTCACAATCTTAGATGCATCAAGCCGGGCCTTTTCCGTACCTCTTGATAGTGCACTTCCAGAAAGGTAGGGAAGCCTCGTGCCCTCTTACTTCCTGATGATCCCTGATGCATAATCACTGGAAATAGAGCTCCACTCCTTTAGATTCAGTGACTGATAAAAGAGCAGTGTCAGCGGGAGAAGTGGGTCCGAAGCAGATACTCCTGTGCTTTATAGTGACGATCAGATATGAGGCTCATAATGTGCTCAAAGAAAGAAAGCCTGAGGACCTGAGCCGTGAGCATAGGGTAAGAAAGGAAAGAGGAGATGAAGTGGAGTGTCAGAAAATAAACCAACGATACGAAGGATGAAAACGAAGTGCTCCGTGTAGTTAGATGTAAGTAACCCTACAGCAAAGGCCATGGTACAATGAATGGGATAGAACCCTCGTTAATTCCAACCAATGAATGCCGGGATGCATTAAAATCCAGAGAGAACGTCAAAACTTTACTTTTAGACCTTTTATCTCACCTGGCTTTTGGCTAAAGAAATTCCGTGCACGAACAGACAGTCATTGGAACTCCTTCCCCCTTCTTATCTGCTTCAGGAAGAGGCTGAGCAACCGGAAGAAAGCCAGAGAGAGAGAGGAAGCGGACACACAGGGCAGAGAAGCCCACGCACCAGGTATGTATCCTGACACGGACGGATGGGAAAGGAAACCATAATCTTATAACTTAAGAAGATGAGGGAAAGGGGAATTGACATTTATTAAGCATAAATATGTGCGACAGTATTAATGATAGCTCTGTGTCAAGCACTGGTGCAAAGCCATTGTCCTGGATAATGTAATTATCATAAAAAATGTTGATGATCCAGGTATTAAAATTAGATAAGAGTCAGGGCTGGGGATTTAGCTCAGTGGTTTTGCCACCTACCTTGCAAGCACAAGGATCCAAGTTCAATCCCCATAAACCCCAAAAAAAAAAAAAAAAAAAAAAAAAAAAAAAAAAAAATTAGATGGCAGTCTGTCTGCACAGTAAGCCCACATAACCCAGCTATATTGTTATTTGATAGAACCTAGATGAAGCAAGAAATGTTTTCATTCTACAATGAAGAAAACAAGATCCAGAGGGTTTAAGACTATTGGTCAAGGTTACAGAGAGGCGCAGAAGTCTTCCTGAGATCTCACACCTCCTGCAGGAGAGTTCATGGGAAGAGATGGACACCGATCTCTTGTTCTCTTTTTTTCTACAAAGTTTAAATTTGTATCCTGATGTTAAAAAAAAAAAAAAAAGGCTGAACAGTCACAGTTCAAATCACCTACAAGTAAAGCAATCCAAATAATCATCATATAGACAGAACACCATAACACAGATCAAATAAGTCCACATTTTGTTTTATTAACAGCTTCCATCACTGCAATAATTTATAAGAGTGAAATCATACCAGAGGCTCCATGCCATCTTGCTAACCAGCAATTCCCTTCATTATTACATTATCTGGAAGAGGAGAACAAACAGCAAAAAAGATTCCCTGCACCTTTTACTTTATTTTACAAATTTAATAAACTGCACTACCAAATCGCATTAGGATGACAGACCTGCTTTTGAATGGACCTCAGATATTTCAATTTCGGAAGTGTTTTTTGTTTCTTCTCATGCCAAAAAAGTTTTTGCCCATTATGCTGATTTATGTTTCCTTTAGAAGGCATCCAAATTAAAATTATCATCAAAGTTAGTTTCCAGAGTGAAATTCAGAAACATTACTTAAGTCCCAGAGCTCTGCTGTGTCTTAGACATACTACTAGGTGGTAGCCATAAGGAGTGAAGTTCAGAGCCATATGCAATGCAGAGCTGTCCAAAGGCGGGACGGTTCCAGCCCAGCAGGAGGCCACAGCATTTCCGGAAGGAGTCAGCACTACTTCTCAGGTGCTTAGCCAACCCAATAATCTCTTATTCCCAAGTACTAAACAGGTGAAAAGTACTGCATAAGCGAGTACCAAGGAGCAATATTGTAACACACTGATCACAAATGAAGACTTGACAGCATAGCACTATTACAAACACAGAGACTTGTGAATACCTTAATTCAGACTAGAGCCAAAGACAGTATGAACAAGCACCAGCCGAATGGGATCTTATAAGGAAAAAAGAAAAGCCTATTAAGTGAAGTCTTTGGGGAATGTGTAGGTGCATAAAATCTGTCTTTCCTACCAAATAAAGCTATGTAATGAACGGTTGGAAAATCGTCAGTATTTTGTTAGTTGATTTGGTTTCCATTCCCATTCCCCAGTGAAATTCATTTTCCCACCCCTTAGTTCTTTGTATCCATGAGTTGATTACTAAAGAGAGGGGAGAAAAGCAGATGTTTCTGTACTCTGGCTTCAGAATTAAGTGTTGCAAAAGAGCAAGCATTTAGGTTCATTTACATTTCTTATCTGGAACACAGACTCCAGCATATTGACGAAGAATCTGTCACCCTGTCCCTCCTCTCCCTCTTTATATCTCAGATTCATCTTTTCCTGAAATTTGTGTATTGCTGATCTCCCCTTGGAAAAAGGAACCAAACCATTTTGAACTCGATGTTCAGGGAATATTAGACCTTGGAGTGTGGGGTTTAGAGAGAGGACAGGCAAACAATCTCTAGGAGTTGCCGTGGTAACACACCTTCGCTACTGAATGCAGTCCACATAATAACTTATGAATTATTAGCCAAAATGTAGTACCAAGCCCAATGTCTCCCAGCTGGTGATGGTCAAACTGAAACAGAAAAGAATGCCATTCAGGATTGAAAGAACCAAGACAAATTATGTAAAATTTCAAATTCCCAAGGATGAATGCCACTGTATTGTATACCTAAAATGTACCAATAAAATTAATGGAAAAAATTAATTAAGTATTGATACATGTTAAGTATTAATGAATGCATTTTATCATGCTAAAAAAAAGCATAAGTTGTATTATTTATTTAATTAAAGTGTCCACAATAAGCAAATCTCTAGAAATTGAAAATAGATTACAGTAGCCTAAGACTGAAGGCTGGGAAGGCAGTGGAGAGGCGCTGGTTTCAGGCTTCTTTCTAGAATGATGAAAGTGTTCTAAATTTAGATTATTTGCAACACGGTTGCACAACTCAAAGATATTCAGAACCATTGGATTTGGTACTTTGGGTGTATTTTACTATATACAATTTACATCTCAACAAAGCTACTAAAAGTACCAGTGCAGCATGTACGTACATGTATGCATACAAATATCCTGATTAAAAGGAATAAATGGCTGTTCATTAGTCTTTGTCCATGGAGGCAGAAAGAAGAATTGAGATCCTTTGGGTGAGTCAGGAGAAGAATGATGCTGCTTGTCCCTCCATTGGCAACTGGACAGGCAACCAAGCCTTCATGGAGCTTAGGCAAATGCAGGGTGGAACAGGGCTGGGCAGAGGCCCCTCTGAGCCCTTTGCCCCATTGCTTCATGTTTTATGTCAAGGGACATGAGTTTCATTCCATAAAACCAACTATCTGCTCTCTGATCAGAGCTAAACAAAACTCAACATACAGTAACGCCCACTTACATAATTTATTTCTGTTGCCCTCCATAAGTAAGGAGGCTGAAATTTCTGCCAGATGATCAATAATTAGAAGCAAAGGTACCTGGTTAGTATGCATCAAACAATGTGGTAAAACAAACAGACAAGCGATTAACCCCAACAAACCAAGGCTGCTTTGAGGGTACACCTTAGTTGAAAAGAAACACTTTACACCACAGTTTCCAATTTAAGTTTAGAATGTATTGAGCATTCCCTTTCCAAATATCCACCCTCATAGTTGAATAGCATAATGAAATGAAATGAAATGGGGAGTCATAATGTACATTGGATTGTTATAGGATAACAGTCTTAAGAGGCTATGTGCATAATCTAGCTATTCTCTTGTTTGAAACATGTTTGTTGTTTTATACCCAGTTTATGAGCCATACCAAGAAGCCAGTTATTTTTACTTAAAATTCAAATGATGTTTTTTTTCCAGGAGTCGCCCAGTTTGATCTTTGGCTTTCTTGCCTAGTGTGGTTTCTTGTTGACTTCTGACTATGTCTAAACAATCACAAACTACAAATGTGCCACCCATAGTAATTTTAAAATAATGCGATTTAACACATGGTCTGAAGATATTTCATGAAAGAAAATTTCCACCAGTATTTGCGATACTTCTCGCTGGAAAAGCGAGATTTCCATATCTACAAATACTACCTTTTTTTGTAAATTGTCCTCAAGAAATTGAAGAGAATGAGGATGCTCTCTGGGTCCTCTTTAATTAGAGTGTGAATCTCATTCACAGGGCCTCCCACCTAAGGACCTAATCAGTTTCCAACGATCTATTTCTTCCTCCCATTAACTTGAGGTCTTCATCATGTGCATTTTAATGGAGATCACTAAATGGGGATTCACCACAGATAACATGGCCTTAAGTTTCCCTTGATACAGTAACTACAAAACTGACTTCTGTCCACTGAGTCAACTGTTTCCTCCAACGTTAGATTCTCCATCTCCTTGGCTTTCTTTTTTCTATCATGACTGTCCTCAAAGATCTGTTGGTCCATGATGGCTTCTTCAGATTCCACTCTAGTGAGCTGGAGAGACCCCTTGGTGCCCTGCATTTGGGTGGGAGTCAGCTGAATGAGTTTCACAAGAGCATATGGGAGCTGCCCTTTCTCAGCGACCTCCCTCCACCACCTTTAAATGGTTAAGCAAGGCAGATTTGATGCAAAGGCCCCCACACCTACACTTCTCTAGTTCCCCTCAGATGGCTTGGTCAGAGTCTTAAGAAAAAAAAATCTTAGGGCCAGGGATTTAGCTCAGCGGTTGGGTGGCCTGCCTTGCAAGCTCAAGGACCCGAGTTCAATCCCTGGTAAAAAAAAAAAAAAAAAAGAAAGAAAAAAAATATTTCTGAGAGGTGCAGTGATTGAGGGTTTTGAGCCCAGCACTCAGGCATGAGTTTGAGCCAAGCCTGGGCAACTTAGTCACTTAGCAAGACCCTCTCTCAAAATTAAAAAATAGTAATAATAAATAAGGACTGGATTGTAGCTCAGTGCCAAGGCCCTGCATTCAATCCCCATTATCAGGAAACAAAATAAAACACAAATGAAAAACACTTTCCATTTTCCCTAGTTGTTGTTGGATGGGAATTGAACATTCCAGAAGCCAGCCATCAATGAAGGTGCTCTGCTCCCTCCCAACTTCTGCCTGTGCTTCCTGAACGCTCTGGGTTCTTCCTCTGCCAGCTCAGTGACTCCCCCCGCAGGAGCCTTTCATGGATTTTCCCCTTCATCATGTTGTTTCACAGGCAAAGCTCTTTTCTCAGAAGCTAACTTTCAGGAATTTGTGGAACCCTTTTGTTCCATGTCCTGTAAATTCCTATGAAATTATGTTCCTTTTGTTTTCTTAATTATCATTTTAACGTTTTAGCAGAAGAGATGAATATGTTCAGTTTAACATCTAGAATCAGATAGCTTTATTATGCTAATATTATACTCCAAATGTAGAAGGACATTTTGCATACAAAGCATTTAAGTCTGTACCCATATTTTCAACAATCCAAAATTGGGATCAGATTTACTAATCAGAAGCAGTAAATATCAAGAGTTAGCATCTATAAATTTTTCCATGGGTCATATTTAGTGTCTAAGTTTTAAAGCCGAACTTGTTTACAGTCTGCTTCCTTCAGGATTACACGATGGTAATATACCTTTAAAAAAACAAATAAGAAAAAAAAATTT